TATATACATATATATATATATATATATATATATATATATATATATATATATATATATATATAACTTATATATACTACTATATATATACTACTATATATAAGTTAAAAATGATAAATGTGATCGTACTATATCGAATCACAAAGTGACTGATCTTTAAGTTTATTATATAGATTTTGTTTTCACATTTATAATATTTTTATATTTCACATTTATAATTTTTACATATATAATCTTTAAGATCGAAATTTGATAATATATTTTATATGTAATACAGGTTTACACAGAAGTGTTAATTACTTTTTGAAATAAATATGAATAAAAATAAAAAAGACAGGCTTAAATAAATATTTTTATTTATAGTTTTATTTAGAAGATTAAAATTCAAACTATCACGTTTACGTCAAGTTTACAGTCAGTTTCTAATAAACATAGTTTATATTATTCACATAACGCGATACAAAAAATCCACTATTTCGTTTCGCTTGTCAGCTGCACCGTCAACAAAAGCATTCCCTCTATTTGCTTCTCTTTCATCTTGTTGATTTTCCTGTACATTATCATAAAAGTCATATGTATCATTGTATATAATACAAATATTATGTAAAATACAGCATGCAGTAAGTATAGTCTGCATCTCGTTCATGAGAAACATGTGTAAAAATTGCAGTCTGCGAAATCTTCCTTTTAAAAGACCAAACGCTTGCTCAATGACAATTCTTTTGGAACTTAGTTTTGTATTGTAATTGGTCTGTCTTCGAGTTAAATGCCCATTGTCACGAAATGGAGTCATTAAGTATGAATGCAACGGATATGCGGAATCTCCTAGTAGATGCGTTCCTTCAGGTATTCAATAGGTATCCAGAGAGTCCAATAGGTCGTGGTCTTATAGTATCATCTGCAAGACCACGACCTATTGGACTCTCTCGCCATACTCTACTATCATGTGATGAACCAGGCCATCCCACAAATACATCGATGAATTTACATTCGGCATCAGCGATACCTTGTAAAATTATGGAATGAAATCCTTTTCTGTTGTAGTAACTGGCCGGATCTTCTATCGGTGCAGGTATTGGAATGTGTGCACCATCAACTGCACCGACAACGTTTGGGAAACTATGTCCTGTCCTTAAAGTTGTAAATTTGTCTTTGATACGTCTGAATTCTGCCTCTGATGGCCAGTGCAGATATTCATTTGCAAGTCTGAGCAAACATCTGCAGATGTAAAGAAAATGTTTATGTGCATTGCTTCGAGTGATGTTGAAGCGATCGCCCACTCCACGAAATGATTCTTGATTCGCTAAAATCCATAGTATCAATAGCAGTGATTTCTCAATGGATATACCATGATTACCTAGTCGAACTTTCTTTGCTCTACACTGAGGTAATATATCATGTCTCACAATCTACAAAAATTTTAAAATATAAAATTATTTTAAAACGACATTTTTAATAAATAAATAAATAAAAATATTGTTAATAATGTTAGACTTGCATGAAATGCTGTAATATAGTAACATATCTCGAAAGATGTCCGACAAAGTCGAAAGTGACTTTTAAAAGTATCTGAAGCCATTCTAGCAATAACTTGCATGTAATGCTTCATCTTTACGATTTGTCTCCTCTCCTATAAACATATTTTATATTATTATATTTATATTCAATATAATAAAATGAGACAATAAAGTTGTATATGAATTGCACACTTAACCACTTCATCTGAGCTGTTAGAAATACTAGAATCACTATCCGTATTTTCGTTAACTAAATCCTCAATTACAATCGGTAAAATGTTACGTAGCACATCAATTATGATATCCATTTTATTGTCACGTCTTAGTTGATTTTAAAACGTGTTAATTGTCCTTTTTGGGTCAATGGATTTAACCACTTTACCCTGGGATGGACAAGTTCGTGTAATTGTGTGTGATTAAATGTGTAAATGTAAATGTGTGTACAAAATAATTATTTTACTTACTGATTCTGGTTGATTCTTTCTTTAAGAAATTTTAAATTACTTGAAGTGCTTCTCGTGCTATAGTTATAGAGAGACTGAAGAGCTTGCGATCGGACTTAAGAGGTTGGAGAAGGTTTGGGAATGTAACGTGACACTTAGGTCAGAGGATATGTTAGGAAACAAACCTTTATCTTCCCAGTATCTTATTTACGACTTTAATGTTTTATCTTAATGATCCATTTGTTATATGTATTGTTTGTTTTTATACGTTTGATTAATTAATTATAACTGACTGATCGATTGTCTAATTGACTGATTCCTTATCTTTAGTCTGATTTTTGTTTCTATTATTACTTCTTGTTTCAAGTTTGATTTTTGTCTTACTATTCTCTTACGGACTGTCACTACTTCTACTTTTTACTTACTACTGGTTTTTTTATGTGCTGTCGCACCCGCTTTTATAGGCAGGTGGCGAGATACCCCCGCGTGAGTTCTCACCACCTTTTAGTAGAAGGGGGAAGATGCTTCTCACGATATGTGAGTAATAATCAATAGTGAAATTTCGACACCTTATTATCAGTCCATTGTTCTTTGACCACCCAGGGCATTTATTGCATTCCTGGTGGTAACATAAGGTGCACTCGGTCGAGCTAAAGAGAAGTTACGTCGGACGTAACATTATTGATATTTACACCTCTTTTGTATGATTTTTCTTAAATTTTAAATCGCCACGTGTTTGAGAACACACAAGCGCAGAACTTCGTTCTCTCAAATCAGCTGCGCAGCCGGTAAATCAGATACGTTGCGGCTGCTAAACCCGATGCCTAAAAGAACGTACCCGATGCGTCAGTTTTTTTTGGTACGACTAATAAGGGTGCATTCCATTCACTTGCGCTATATCGTATTATTTTATTATCTAGCATTTCTTTTATTTGTCTGTTAACTTCTTGTTTATGCGTTTCGGGTAAACGGTACGGTCGTATGTTTATTGGTGCTGCATCAGCTTGTGTGGTAACTTGATGCTCCACAACTGTAGTATGAGTGAGGCTATCTCCTTCAAGAAAGAATGTATCATTAAAATCTTCACATATTTCGTATATCATTTTTATTTCTTCATTATTTAAATGCTGTAAGCGTAATTGTTTCTTTAATTTTTCTGTTCGTGCCAATTGCTCGCTGTTTTTCTGTTCAGTAAGCAGGTTTATTTTTGTTGTATCATCTTCCGTTTCTTCTAATGCTACATATGGTGTGGCTATTTCTACAATGTTTTCAGTGGTATTTATCACTGTTGCAGGGCACTTATGATTGCTTGCTTTAATCAAGCAATTTCCAATAAAAATTCCTGACAAAATCTCCTCTGCCGGAATAATTCCTTCTTTGTTTGAACTGTTATAATCGCGAACAATATTAGCGCCGTTGGAACGCTTCAGGAGGAACCGTTTCGACTGCGCTACAACAAGGAAGCGGATGTGCAACTGCTGCGCTAAGCATCACCTTGCACATTCCGCATTTCGGACTTCGAGCCGAACCACACCAAATAATTACCAAATATGGTAATCTCCTTGTCGCCAGGCACCCCTTCCGACAAGACTACACAATATTATAAAAGAGCGAAGAAGACCGCCCGCGACAGAATTAATACTTCGGTCTCTCGCCCGCGACGAACGTATCCGTCGCGTATCATTACCATAAAATAGGGAGTTAAAATAAGATACATCAGTCATAGTTATAATAAAGCCTTTTATATAAAAAGTGTGACTACATTTTTTCTAAACGAACTCACTTCCCATCGCCACGCACCTTGCCGCGCCTGCACACCGATCTCGAACTCTCGTTCGCGCCCAGCAATAACAGGGCACGACATAACTTACTGTAGCCTGTATTATATTCTCACTACGCGCGGGAAGGCTATATATTTGATATGGTATTAATGGCAAGTTTCATCCGGAAATTTTCATGGTCTTTTCCTTATAGTCGAACTTGGCATGACGTGCTTGTAGGAAATCAATTCCTAGTATTCCTTCGTAGTCTATGGGGAAATCGTCCCTTACTACATATAGTTCCATTTCTCGTTGCTGCTTTCCTAAGTTTACCGTAGCATTTATTTTTCCCAATGTATAGGCTTGATGTCCGGTGATACCCGTTAGAGTTAGCTTTTCTCCAATCATTGGCGTATCATCCTCTAATGTTTTTATTTTTATTAAGCTTATGGCTGATCCTGTATCTACCAGAAACGGAATTTTCTGTTGTTTTGCTTCCTTTATTGGTAATATTATTAGATCGAATGTGGCATTATTTCGTGTATTCTCTTTAACTTGATTGACGCGATAATCTTGTATTCTACTTTGTCTATTTTTATTTTTGTCTTCCTGCTAATTTCTAGTCTTAGGTTACCGGTCTAATTACCCAACAGAAAACCAAACCAACAGAAAATCAAAACATGTAACGCGATGTTTTATACAGCGCGTGCACTTTTGATTTGCTTGCCGTATTGCGCATGTTCGTTTATGCAACACGTGCATTTCGGTTGAAACGTCTTTTAACGTTTCATCATGGTTTGTTCTACATAACAGGAGCAACACCAAAAGAAGAAAGAAGAAACGAAGAAAATCCTGGACCAAGTACTGCACCAGCAACAATACATGAAGAAATATCAACTAGACAACAAACTCAAGACACAACACAAACCAACACAAACACTGACATAATTTCAGATACACAACAAAATACTCGTAATGAAGTACCAAGTCTATACCCAAGGTTATTTTAATATCTTATCCGTTATTTTATATAATATTTTGTCTATTATTTTACATAGAAATGAAATTACTGCAAGGAGAGGAAAATAAAGACTTCCATGAATTCTATGGACCAATCGATGAGGTAAGACCCATCGACCACTTTGAAATGTA